ACACACACACACACACACACACACACACACACACTTACTCACTCTCTCACCCACACGCTCACTCACTCACTCACTCTCTCGCCCACACGCTCACTCACTCACTCTCTCACTCACTCACTCTCTCACTCACTCACTCTCTCACCCACACGCTTACTCACTCACTCTCTCACCAACACGTTCACTCACTCCCTCTCTCACCAACACACTCTCATCTCACCCACACACTCACTGATTTACTTCGAAAAACTAAACAACGTTTTACACTTTACTACTACTTACTTATTTTTATTAATAATCGTGGTATGATTTTTATGATGAAGTCTATGATGTTTTTCACTCTGAAGCAATGCTTCGAAAAATTCGTGTTATCATTGTGACAGCAAATAGTTTTTCTATCCTGAATTTTTAAAAATTTATTGCTCCTCCTCTCATGTATACACAAATACTAGTCAAGAAAAAGACCAGAACAATTATAATACTTATCAAAACGCTTCTAGTATAAATGCTCATTTTAACAGCGTTGCATAGTAAAAGTGTACGAAGTTCTCTCGAAGTACAAGGTTCTGATTTTATTGGCTTTCCTGAGAGGACTGCACCTCCGAAGTAAATGAGTAATGATCGATCTTCTTTAGGCGTCTAGGTAGGAATTTCCGATTCACGAACTTTAATCAAGAGGGTATTGATTTCCTCTCAACAGGCATTTATTTTAGAAATAAAAGGACCACATTTTCATGGAACGTTGAACGATACTACTTAACAAGAATATTGGTTTATGACATTATTCTCTTTCCACAGTTGTAATCATTCAGGTAAATACTAATATCCAAGTCATAAACTCTGTATATTTATGTAATTTTCATAAATGAAGTTTTCGCCAATACCTTTTAATGAATTACAACAAATCCTTCTTTTCTGACTGCATAAACAATTAAATAATATAAAAAGATGCGTTTGACGCAATTATAATAAACAATATTCGAGCAAATAAATCATTATCCTGAGGCATTATCCTATGCGTTGTACTATGTACACTTCCAACACTTTATATTTATTTCCCACGATTTCAATCAAACCGAAACGAATTAATAAAATAATTAGGGAATTTGCTGTGGCATATCTGAAAATGTCGTTGTCGAGAGAACAACCAACGTTCGAAAAGGTATTTCAATTACTAGGACGACTCCTACTGGCACGCCATGCGATAGGAAAGTCCGTGCATTATTCACAATTCAATCTCTGCCGGGGCAGATTATTGAGTTCCGGCAACACTTTGGGGCGATCATTCCACACGCGTGGCGCGCAGTGGTGGCGCTGCACGCAAGCCGGGGTCACGCCAGAGGTCGCTGTTTCCACGGACGTTTCATTAACAACACACATCGCACTATTTCTACGCCGCCGCAAGGAAGGAAAGTTCCTCATTTAAGAAAGCGCACGATGCAGTTATGACGAGGTTTAGCACGGCGACGCGCTGCGTAGTAATTTCAACGAATCACGTGATTTTGCGTCGTCTAAAGTTTCGTTTTTATTTTAAGAAACAACCGCCACGAATGGGTCTAAAAAGGCGTACGCGTGACGATTGTGAGGGATGAGACGAAGGGGGAGGTTTCTGACGTAATCATACTTTCCTCGCGTTTTCTGCAAAAAGTTCATTCACGTAGGCTAAACTTTATTTAAAAAAGAAGATTAAAAATAATCCACTTCAGTCAACGATAAAAAAACTTTTATTTCAACTTACGCGTGTCTGTAGCGAACAATCGTGATACTACGTATAATAATATTTACTTTATTGACGTTCTTTCGAAACTATTCTCACTATTAGAAATCTCACTGAAATGTTTTTGTGAGGTTATAATATCACATGAAGTTGTAACATTGGCACTCGTAATATTAAAAAAATAATATCTATAAACATTAAAAATATATTAATAAATTATAGATACATTGTTGTAATGGCAGATCGTGTGCACAGAGTACGACTGAAATATTTTATTACCAAAAAACATGCGGCGTAGTTTATGGTGGGTATTTTATGGACGAGATGGCAAGACAAAGCATTGCAGCCAGAAGCTCGCGTGTTTTTCAGAGAGCCCGTCTGTTCGTTGTAAATTCAGGCTAAACGACGTGGTTGTTCGTGGAACCGAAAATCTTGAAAACATGAAATTATGCTCTTTTCTCCTTTACTTTTCTTACACATAATTTGAAGGGAAAATGCGAGCGTTGATAAATACAACTCCAAGTAAAGTCACTGATTTAGTTACAAAATTTTATTGGAAAATTGTAAGTAATGACCATTATAACTATAGTAACTTTAAATAATATTATTCTTCCTTTCAAGGCTTAGATCAGAAGGTTTATTTCGGCTTCTCTCCAGCGCTGCCTTGGCCGACCAGGGTTTCTTTTTCCAACTGGTCGATAATGGTAAGGCACTTTTGTAAGTCTATCATCTTCCACCTTTTCTAGGTGTTGTCTCCACGCTGAACTTTACTCCTTTATTTTGTCTAATGTGGAGAAAATGTTGAGGTCTTTTTGGATTCTTTCGTTTCTGATCTGTTCAAGGTAGCTACATCATTTTACTGTTCTTAGAAATCTCATTTCATAAGCTTGTATATTACCCCTCTTCTTCAATAATATTTTCATATTTTTCAATTTAAACAGGTTGCTGGTATCTATACTAGTGCTGCAATTCTTCGATCAAGAGAGAGATCATTATTCGAAATTCAATTTTCTGATATGGATATCTTTATGCTTTACCATGATTTACTACGGTTAACGTATGGTAACTAGTTAGGTGATGGAGAAATGCGCCAAAAAAGACGAAAAAGATAACTCGAGAAGGAGAAAAGGAAACTAGATTAGAGAAAAAATAGAGAAAGCAAAGCAAAGGAATGAAAAAAGGAAATGAATAAACATAAATTAAAGAAGAAAAATAATGATAATTGAGATAAAAGGGGGAAGAAGTTGAAGAAAAAAGTGCAAATATTGAACTCCATGAATGAACCTGTATTATTCCAGAGGAAACCACTGCTGCTTATGAGTCATGCCCAAAAACAAATGCTTAGATTGTCGTTAACTGTATATAATTAGCGGGTTCTAGATATTCCTTGCAAACCTGGCCCAAGTAGGAAAGGGTGGATGTGAAGCCGCACCTAAAGAAGCGCCAGCTTTAGCCCGGAGCCCCATACTTGTAGCTCAAGGCACTCGCACTTCGGGGATGCTACTGTCCAGGTGGAAGAATTTGTGAACGGATTTTAATAAAATGAGTAATATTAAAATGAGTATTATTAAACGATCTGTAATTAATTACGTACGTTTTACCTGGCAGATACTTCCTCTGGTGATATTATATGATCTAACATAAATGTACTGATGTGTTATATAGAGACTAAGAGTAATAAAAAACAAAAAATACTATCCTCATAAAAAGATCGTTTAATAATGTGATTTATAGTAACATTGCTATTCACAACTGTGGTTACTAATGTAGTAAATACATTTATTTATGTAATTAGAGCTCAGAAGATCAACTTCAACTCTTTTTCATTAGGCATGCATTTGAAGTAAGACCTAATGGACAAACAAGCAGTCCAGATTATCTATTAAATCACTTTAAAATAATCATTCAATACTGATAAGAATTGTATAATTATGGGACGTGTTTGAGGAAATTGTGTACAAGTATTATTAGGGATTTCCAGTAAGTAATCCTGAAAGTATTTGAGAATCAGAGGCGAAGAAAATAATGTTTATATTATAAATTATAGACAACTGTTTCATGAAGTATCAAATTATGTAAACAATATAAACAACAATGATGTTTATGGATAATATGGATATGGATTATGGATGATGGTTATGGATATTCTTAGCAAATGTGTTAATTGCAGTGAAAGAAAACATTCTTTTTGGATGAGTTGAGATTTTTTGCATCTTCTTATAATATTGCAACTGATCGTTATATGGAACTGTGACAACACCCACCTATAAACACAATAACTCACACACACACACACACACACAAACACGCATTAACCACCACACATGCGGGGAGAGCAGTTGGGAGATAGAGCTTGTACCGGCTTGGGCGGTGCCCAGCTGGTGGGATACCTGTTTCAAGAATACCCTGAACACCGACGGTTCTTCGGCGACAGATCACACAATCTAGCGGGGAAAGATACCTCCGTCTCCCGAGGAAAAACATGCTCTACACTTACGAGACTAATGACCTTCGAGGTTGAAGCCGGGAGAAACAATGCAAGAAAGGTAGGGGAAAAATGTGACGGGGAAAGGTGATGGAGAAATGGAATGGTGTAAAAAGAAACGAGAATTGATGACTGCGAAATGAGGGAAAGACTTGGGGAAAGTGACAGAGGAAAGAGAATGGGATAGTGACGGGGAAAGCAGTCAGGAAATCAAGTAGGGTAAAGGAAGCGGGGAATGTGACCGGTGGAAAAATGGAAGTGAAAAGGAATAAATAGGAAGAGACACGGGTGGAAATGGGTGAGTGAAAGTGATGGGAAAATAGTCGGTTGGAACGAGTCGGGGTCGCGGGGAAATAGGCAGGGAAATGAGGCCGAAAGGGAAAGAGAAGAAGTAGAAGAAAGGAGGAGTGTAATATTAGTTTAAAAAATCGTATTGGTGAGATGTGTGGCCCGCTCACCGGAGTTGGAGGAGCGGTCGGGAGAAGGCATGGGGAAGGGGAAGACGTTGGACAGAAAGTGCAATTAAGTCATAGTGTGGTGTATTGCCCCACAACGGGAGTCTTCAAAGGACGAGTGGGCGACGCTGCGGTCAAAAGAGAGCGAGGGCAAGCAAAAGAAGAGCAACGGGCTCACCTGAAGACCTCGACGGAGGAGGAGTCGAAGGCAGTGCGGTCAAAAGAGAGCGAGGGGAAGAGAAGGAAGAGCAACGGGCTCACCTGTAGACCTCGACGAAGGAGGAGTCGTCGACGGTGCGGTCAAAAGAGAGCGAGGGGGAGCGAAAGAAGAGCAACGGGCTCACCTGTAAACCTCGACGGAGGAGGAGTCGTCGGCGGTGCGGTCGGGCGAGGGCGCGGCGGCGTCGAGCGGGCCGCGCTCGGGGCAGCGCACGCCGTGGAAGCCGTGCAGCAGCGCCGACACGAGCGCGCGCGTCGCCGTCTCGGCGCGAGCTGCCGCCGCCAGCTGCAGTAGCCGCGTCAGAGACAGGCGCCTCAGCGGCCGAAGCAGCGCAGGGCACGTGTTGCGGCACGCCACCGCCACGTGCAGCCCGTCCTTCGCCCCCAGCGCCACCAGCGCGTTGTGCAGGCTCGCCAGCCTGCAGACACACGCACACTCAGCCAAGAGGAGAGCATGGAAGTTCAGGCATTTTACCGTAAATAGGTAAGCAAAAAGGAATAACCGGTTGAGACAAGAAGCTTACTACGCGATCTTCACGCCCACTTCCGAAGTGATAATAATAAGACCATCTAGAAATACCCGTTACATGAACTGGCCATGTAACTGGGTGGCAAGTTGGCTACTGATATAGGGGTGGCCATGGTAGTAACAGGTAAAGGATGCAAGAAGGATTCCTAACATTCTCTAAACCCTCAGCAGGTTAAAGCTTGCATTACAAGAATAATGAATGCATTTATTTTTACTAAAATAGAAATACAAAAAAGGTATGGACAAAATGCAAAATCATATGCAACAGGCAATAGTATATTTTTTTTATTTTAACTCTAAAAATTTTATAATCATTTACATGTAAGGAAACGATCTTTTCTTTCCGATCTTCATTTCACTTGATCATCTGGTCTGATTAGACCTACTACGAATTTGTAATACACGAGACACTGTCTTTTCGAAATACTGTTGTGGACTTCCGTTTGAATCTTGAAATGGTATTAATGAAAATGAGTGTTTTTCGTTCTTCGCACTTGTGTAATCGCCAGCACTGAGAAGGTTGTATCATTTAGAGAGAGGTTTTTCCTCCAATAGAGATTGCGGGCCATACTCGAAAGTACGATGGGTTTCCTCATTAGCGAACAAAGCCTGGCGGCAATCAATCGATGAATAAAATAAAAATTGTCTGGTATTATTTTCGTTTCTCATTTAGATGTTTAACACTACCTGGCACTAGAGCCTCAGCTTCCACAGAAAGATAAAACACGACCGTGCCTTCGCGTTGGCCAAGCCTGCCGGTTAGTCCCCAGATGGATCGAGATGGGTGGAGGAAGGGAAAAAATAATGACGAAGGAAGTAGGAAAAGGCAAAAGTAAGACAAAATACCAACAATAGCCGTCAGATGCTAAAATAGTCAAAGAAGGGAAAATGAAAACATACTAAAACAACTCCAAAAGTACAGTTAAGAGTGATACTAAAGTAAGACTTGTTAAAAGTCAAAATCGTAGCAATAATAAAAAGGCATTTTGCCAAACTTTCAGGTTCTAGTCAAGAGCAAGGAGGAGGAGCTAATGGCGAGGGAAGAAAAACGAACTTTTGGAACGACAAGGTTCCAACTAACTAATCAGTCGTTTCGAGTAAATTGATATTAAAAATGTGTCAACTCATTCTCGCTCTGTGTCCACAGACGGTAACTAGCACGATTACTAGCAGCAGAAATTAGATAGTTCCTTGTCACAATTTATTTCCTTCGCTAGAATCGACTAGTAGTAAAACTCATGTAAACCCCATGAAGAGCACTTGTATATGCGAACACCCTCAAATATGTTTTATTTTTAGTGCTATTACATCTCAAAATGCGAATATTTTAGTACCACTGCTTCTTCAACAAGTTCTCAACTAAGCACACTTCGTTTGGGTATGGAAACTTGATTCATCTTATATTAAATTAAATAACAATCTACTCTGAATAAAAACTTTTTTGTGAAAAATAGTTTTGTTGAACGATTCAATATCTAAAATCATAATATTTACTCCAGTCGTTTCATCGTAGGAGAAAGAAGGGAGGATAGAGAAGGGAAGGAGATACAAAGGTGGGAAAAGGGGAGGCAAACATACCATAGAAGTGAAAGTGGTAGGGTAGTGACAATGAAACTGAGGGCAATTATAGGAAAAAAAGAAACGAAGAAAAAAGAAAATTATAAAATACTGAGTAAACCTTGAATTAAAATATCCAGCTGCAGCATGGTGCTTGCTACTCCATCTTTTACACATATTTTACCCACAAAAGTCGTAATGAGACTTTTAGACACACATTTCAACAATTATGGTACAGTGGGCAATGGAAATGAATACTTGGCGAAAAATGCTAAAGAAGAGAATTCGTAACATCCATTACACCCTCAGCAGGTGCATTTCTGTAGTACTAAGTACAAAGGTTAAAATAATACGACTTTAGAAGAGTTGAATCTTCTACTTCTAGACGTCATTTTCCTCTCTTAACACTACGAGCCATGTTTTCGTGAGAAGAAAGAAAACGGCATCCAATTGTTGGAGGAGGTCGGTGGAACGGCAGATAATAGTTTTTATTTTAATGTTTTAGTGGTCACAATTGCGTGAATATGTAAAGAACATGTAATGTGACTACTTAAATCGTTACAATGAGAACTGATTTATCTTACCTGCTCTCAAGAGTCAGAAAGAAACAACAAAGTTATCTTCGAACGCATGTGTATCACACCATAAACGCTCCGAAGTAATCCCTTCTAATTAAAATCTTCCCAAAGTTATCACAATAATTTACAGCTCCGTTCTTTTTAGGCATCTCTTGACAAAGAAAACAAATTTTAAAAAATAGAAAAATATCATATGAAGTAGGTAACCTGTCGTTGCAATTTAAAGTTATGGTTTTTTGTTATGATAATTGCACATAAACAGTATTTAAAATTGCCGGCAGGCAAATTTTATTAATTTAGATCCATGAAACAGACTATCAACTTAACTGATTCTTGAAAAATCCAAGTAGTCACAACAGATAACACAATTTTCACTTTCTAAAAAATCAAATTAACAAAGTACTTTAGTTATAAACAATTAAACAAATGACGAGAATACTTAAGGTCCCGTGGAGCGCTTAGTATCTGCAAAGCCTAGGACACACAACATGATCGTTGAATCCAACACGTTTCTGCAAGGAGCCGAAAGATAACTTTATTGCCCCATAAACTTGCTTGGCCTACAGTTGAACACTAGGCTTAAAAACGCCTGCTCCCGCGGACATTCTGCACTTACGAGCCAATCGTCTACCCGCGAGAGCGCCGAGAGTGCAAGTAGAGGGGGAGGGGAAGCTTTGTGGGGTGGGGAGAAACCTGACGTTGCACGACGCCGCGCGTAGATTGGATGATGTGGCGTCTAATGCAATGGCCCATGCTTTGAAATCATTTTCCCATTTATAAAAATGGATGATGTTCCGTATTTCAAGCTACAAGGGCCATAATTTTCTGTTTACATTCTTCTGTACACTGCTGTGTATTCACCTTTGTTTCCCCCAATGTAGGTATCTTCCTTTTATAATATTTTTACTTAATACTTATTCTGACTCTTAAGCAATGTTTTAAAGCAGTGGCTTTTTGAAAAGCTTAATTATTTAATTCCAACAAAAATTAACAATTTAATAGTTGATTGTTTACCGGGCATGTTATAATCGCCCAATGATATCAAAATTAAGAAAATTACGAGAGCAATCTCTCACATCAAGATGGACATAAAATGGAATGTAAACAATTCAAAGAAGGGTAATGCTTAGCAGCACATATATTTGTGACTATTTTTCCCATTACGACTCAGAAGAAAGGATATCAACAAGCAAACCTCTCTGACAATATGTTATCATGGTGTATCACGGGTCTTGTTAAATAGAATGCAAAGGGCTTAATATATTATACGATGTCGTAAACGATGAATAAATAGTGTTCGTTGATTTGATATTAGAAATATATAATGTACTCTCATCTGAAATTAGAGCATAAAGTACTCATGATTCTTTTGAAGAATAATATGTTTTTGCTTTAATAGAATCATCTCATTCTATTAAACATAGTTAATGAAAAAATAGTTTATTGGTGTCATCACCAAACAAAAACAATACAATATTATAATATTGTGTTTAGCAAAACATTAAATTTGTCATTAAATCACCTCAAAGCGAATTATATTAGCAGTCCTAAAAGCAACTATTACACTTGTGCTAATCCAATATGTATTATTCGTTATATTTTCATATTTTACACCATCGCACATCGACAAAAAAATTTTAAATGAAATACAAAAGTCAGTATTACTTGAAACGTATGTGACCGTCATTTTCTAAGAGATTGCTCTTTCAATTTACGCGCTATGGCTCTAATTGCGCATTCTAATTGATGGTCTCCACTCCTATAATGAGTCTCATTCCCACCCTTCACCGATTTTCGCATTTGCAGACGCGTTTCTCGCGCGTGGCTCCTGAAGTCAGTGAAAGTTCAAAATGCTGTGCTGGCCTGTTGTTCACACTGGCACGTTCACAACCGCACCTTTCGACTGTAATAAAGATGAAAGAGCAAAAACTAAAGATAATGAGATAAAAGAAATAAATAAACAAAACACGTTGAGGAGAATACATTTTCTCTCTCCCACACTTATCTGTCAGTATTGCATAACGCACTACCATAGTTTTGTGATACATTTACATTCATTCAAACTATTCAAAATGTTTCTATTGTCCATGAAAATCTCCACCGACAACCATGGTTGGGTGTACCAATGAGAGGTAGATTATACACACAACTTCTCAACAAAACTGACGTGTCTTTCACAAATTAAAATTCTCCATACAAACTTGGTGAAGAACTTCACCTCCTGTCCAACGGCGCATTTCAGGCAGAATGTTAATTGAATATTCGTCGCAGCGCCTCACGTCTCCGAGAATTACGAACCTCAACTGCAGTCACGCGAGGAAGAATACTAGAAAATAGACGAGAAGAACTTTAACGCAGTAATAGCATTAATATGCTGAAATCATTCAGTTGTAATATTCCTTCCAATCGCTCCAAGAAATCATACCAATATGTGTACTTCACGCAGAGACGTAACGTGGGTGTCAGATGCCTGGGGCGGAGGAAACTTTCACCGCCCCCTTATTTAGATATTGCAATTTTAAAGACGAAAATATACAGAAATTCTAAAGAACTTTTCGGTAAGAACAACCGTTATTATGTTACAAATAAAAAGGGTATGTATATAAATTATACAATATAATACATTTATTTGTGTTGGATTCGTAAACGAAAGTATCGTAGAACATTTCAAAATAATTACTAATAAATTTAAAAAAATATAACCTACTTTACTGAAATTTAATTATGATTTTTTAATTTTAATAAATTAGAGCTTGAACAAAGTAACAGATAGCCAAACGTAAACAATTACTTAAATTAGAAACGTAATTAAAATATTTAATACGTGGTGGAATGTACACGTACACGAACAATACAATTTTTCAACAAACCTTTGAATAATTTAACAACCATTGCATGTACTTAGGAGCACTAAAATCACAGTTTGCATAGCGCGTACATACCCGATTACGTTAATGTAACGACTGACCATCCATCTT